TGACCGAAATTCATCGAATTACAGGTGCGTATAAGTGGCGATACGTTCCGAGTCAACAAAACGGATTATTTCGCGTGGAGAATTTCCCCGTAAATTGCTAGCTAACACGATGTGATGGGACGGTCCGCCCATGCTGAAGGTGACAACGATTGAAGAAGTGCACCCAGTGCCGTTGGCGGAAAAAAAATTTACCCAAAATGAAAGCTGGTGTCTCGTTGGCTGTTACTTCTCCTGTGAAACGATTGTTGATTTTCGACAGAGCAAATGATTATGACAGGATTCTACGAGCTATAGCCTACTTGATTCGATTCGCGAAATACTTTACAGAAAGAAGATGATCGTCAGAGGACCGCTAACCCAATGAGCTGGATTACCGAGGTGAAGCAATCACTCACACAACCACTGTACGATACAGGCAAGTACACGCAAGTAGTGACGTCACTACTTGCGTTTACGTTGATTTTTTGGTTTACTAATACAACCCTATTTCACGATCTGCTCCACCTCTCTCTGTACCTCATTGCCGCTAACCGTTCCAGAACTACGGGCTGCGCTGGCGGTAACAGTGAGGTGTGTTCAGATGGAAATGTTCCATCACGAGTTACGAGTGATTACTGAAGGAAGGTAAACTAAACACCGTCTGTGTGGCTTGAAACCGTTCATCCATTCGCAAGATGGGATTATGCGTGTGGGAGATAGAATCAAAAATGCTCTCATACCATATGACAGTCGACAACAAATGTTATTACCTGCCGGACATCCGTTTTCGGTAGCAGTTGTGAAGAATTTGCACCGGTCAAACTTGCATATTGGACAAAAGGGTCTACTTGCAATGGTTCGTCAGCGATTTTGGCCACTGAGAGTCAAATCAACGATCCGGAAAATCATCGGTAGCTGCATCACTTGCTTCAGAGCGAATTCACTGAAAACGTCCCAGCTGATGGGTGATCTGCCTTCATACCGAGTCCAACCGGCGCCAACCTTTGCTTATACTGGTGTGGACTACGCTGGCCCTTTTTTGATAAAGTCGTTCACTGCTGGTCGCAGGCCGTTAGTAACCAAAGCCTATGTTTGTTTGTTCGTTTGTATGGTGACGCGAGCAATACATGTGGAGCTTGTGTCCGACTTGACCACTGATGCATTTTTAGCTGCCTTGCGGCGATTCACTAGCCGGCGAGGGCTGCCATGTAAAATGTATTCCGACAATACAACGGATTTTGTCGGAGCTCAAAATGAACTTGAGGAGCTAGCGCGGCTTTTTAACGATCTACAACAGTCCAAGAAGATAACGGATTATTGCACCAATCAAGGAATTGAATGGTCTTTCATACCACCACGAAGCTCTCACTTCGGTGGTATCTGGGAGGCTGCAGTGAAGCAGGTGAAGCACCATCTGACGCGGCGAGGGCTGCCATGGGCTGCCATGTAAAATGTATTCCGACAATACAACGAATTTTGTCGGAGCTCAAAATGAACTTGAGGAGCTAGCGCGACTTTTTAACGATCTACAGCAGTCCAAGAAGATAACGGATTATTGCACCAATCAAGGAATTGAATGGTCTTTCATACCAACACGAAGCTCTCACTTCGGTGGTATCTGGGAGGCTGGAGTGAAGCAGGTGAAGCACCATCTGACGCGGATTGTCGGCGGTTGTAAGCTGTCATACGAAGAGTTATACACCACATTGACCCAAATTGAAGCTGTGCTGAACTCGTGGCCATTGGCGCCGTGTTCTGACGATCCGTGTGATCTATCTGCAATTACCCCTGCACATTTTCTAATTGGTCGAGAGATGCAGGCAGTTCCTGAACCGTCTTATCTGGATCTAAAACAGTCAACGCTTTCACGATGGCAACTTGTCCAGACAATATTTCAACATTTCTGGAGAAGATGGACGGCTGAATATATACCCAAGCTGCAAAACCGATCGAAGTGGACAAAGACGATCAACATTACCAAAGGATCCCTGGTGTTGGTAATCGATCAAAATGTGCCACCCTTCCAGTGGCCGCTTGGGCGAGTGAAGGAGTTACACCCTGGTAAGGATGGCGTGACCCGGGTTGTTACTGTGAAGACTTCAAATGGGGAATATAAGCGTGCTATAACGAAGATATGTCTACTGCCTCTAGATGGCCAAATGGATTGAAATTACCCATTTCAACGCCGTGAGGATGTTAAGAGAGAAAATCTACATTACAGAATCCTACTATTGCTGCCAACACTGTACCGTAAAAGTTGGAACCTCACAAATACCAATGTATCTTTTGGAGAATAAAAAATCATATCTTTTATTGAACTCGCTAGTATTGGACGCGTTTTATTTTCGTTCTCGAGTATCCGTGAAAAATACAGTCCGCTCGGTTTATTGAAGGAACAAACCCCATATAAGGACTTAATCGAAAATAATTTGTAAGCAATTTTTTTCTTTCCAAATCCATAAAAAAATATTTAAAACTAATACAGGTTCTTCAATTATTTATGGCATGCCCTTCTTAAGAAGTTAACTTCACCAAAACAAATAAAATAGTATTCTTTTAGGTACTTTCATGATCTTAGGCCAGGCTTAGACCCACTGATGTGCTGCAGGTGTGGCATCTGCTCAGTAACAATAAATACACTGAAAAAAAACTTACTCAGAGAGTGAGTCCTTTTTACTCATACGTATGGATAAATTTCTAATAGCATGTGTCACTTAGCGCATGAGTAACCTATTTACACTTTAGAGATTTCTCCATACCCATGAGTAAAAGTGTAACTAGCTCGGCAATATAATTTAAGCGTGTACAGTGTTTAAATTATGTAAGCTTTTGACTGATTAAACGGAAAAACGGCAACTAGAGAATATTGCATGAAACCGACGAATAATCCATCTGAGCCAATTTGCCAAAGACCACAATGTTCTATCAAATGGAGAGGTGAATTTAAAGCATACAATAGGTAACCTAATAGCACTCTTGTGCCAATCCACTGAACTGTCCTCCATTTAATAGGCCTTGTCCATGTGAACATCTTTGCTGGTATCCTTCCGTTTGGTGGAAATTTTGAAATTGGAACGAGCCATTAAAGTCGACCTTCATTAGCGACTAACGGTGTGTCGTACGTTACCGTAAAACGGGGTATCTTAATGCGGGTAACTTTGATAGTAGAATATAATGATTACATTTACACTCTACACTGTTTCCAAATTGGAAATATTGGTTCCATTTTGTAGCTTTGATGTCGTATAGAGTATTTTGCAGTATGTTTTACATGTTTTCCAAATACCTCCAAAACAAATTTTTCTTGTTTTTTGCCTGATTGAAAAGGTACTCAAACAATGACTTATTAAATGTTTTTCTTATATAGTCATGATAAATTCAATATTGTTTTTATATTGCTTATGATGTTTTTTATTATATACTCATTCAAAGTTTCTTATTTCTTGATCAAAATTGTTTGCGATTCTCGCGTGGTTTTCTACTTTCATCGAGAATTATCAAAGTAACCCCAAAACAAAAATAAGACAATAAAAAAAAAGTGCAAATGCAATAATTCCTGGTAGGCATGTTACCAACGAATTGACTCTAGGATCCCCAGTATATTTTTTTTAAAAACATTCATTGTTGTAAAAAATATTTAGAATATACTTAAAAAAAACTATCAAAGTTATCCCGTTTTACGGTACGCTTTTTTTTTAACCTCGCGGAATTGGCTTGCCTCTGTATTCTCTCGATAGTCATAGTGAGTTAGCACGTGATTGGTTGATTACGGCTAAAAAGTTTGATCAATTTGAGGGGTGCGCTGATGACCAATGTGCACTGATGTCTATAAGGATGAGGAAGGTGGCACGGAGACAGCGTCAATACAACTTTCTACGGCTCCATCCAACAAACTATTAAAGACAAGCCGAGGCAAAGTTAGGTGGTCTGTGTGCTCGCTGAAATCATCTTCTCGAGTTACCAAGCAGCTGAAGAGATGCTTCAAGTGCATGGGTTTAGGTCACCAGGCGAGAAACTGCAAAGGCTCTTACAGATCTGATATATGCAGGAAATGCGGAGAGAAGGGACACATTGCAAGAGGCTGCACGAAACAACTGGGGTGTATGCTATGCAGAAAAGAGGACGGAAACAACCATATGACGGAAGGCTTCAAATGCCTATCATGCAAAAAGTCGATGGCAGGCTAATAGTAGTAAAAATTGAGAAACTGTATCGGTAACTGGGTGGTGGATAGAGCAGCGATGTTTGCAATTCAAGTTATGGGCAAATACTCCATTCAAGAAGTGGTGGCATATAAAGGTTATGCGATCAACAAAATTAATGGAATCTTCATATGCAGTTCCTACGCATCACCTAGATGAACGATGGAGCAGTTCCACCAGATGCTGAATGGACTTACCGAAGAACTGATCGGACGACGCCCGGTAGTAATCGGAGGAGGCAGTGGAGTGGGGAATGCAAGAGGCCACAGTCTGCTGGAAGCTCTAGCAAAGCTGGAATTTCGGTTGTCCAACGAAGGCACCAGCAGCTCATTTAGCAGAGATAGCCGGGAACCCATTATTTACGTCACGTTCTGCAGTCCGTCGCTGGTTGCAAATATGAATAGTAGAGTATGCGAAGGGTATACCAGTAGTGACCATAAGGCGATCCGATATGGCATCGGTTAACGGAATACTATTGCGTACGGAGGACGAGAACTTGTGACCGGAAGTGGAAGACGAAGCCTTTCGATAATGATCTTTTCGTTGAAGTACTCCGTGTAGACAGTGGCCTCATGGATCTGAACGCGAACGAGTTGACAGAAATATATTGATATTGCGCCCTGATAACGATCGACGTCAAGAATGCGTTCAACAGCCCCAGCTGGGAGGCCATCCCCCATGCGCTGCAATAAGGATGCATGCGCTGCATGGGACAGAGATCGATAAGGATCACAGCGGGAGTCCAAAGGAGTTGAGATCGTTGGGTTTGCGGACGACGTCGTCTAGAAGATAACAGGCGAGACGCTGGAAGAGGTAGACATGTTGGCGACCGTTGCGATCGACATGATTGGTAACTGGATGCAAGGAGTGAACCTGCAGATAGCCCACCACAAAACGGAAGTGTTATTGATAAGCAACTGCAAAGTGGTGCAGCGAGCAGAATCCACCGTCGGAGAGCATACAATAGCCTCGAAGCGCGTGCTGAAGTATCTGGAAGTGATGATCGATGACCGGCTTAACTTAAATAGTCACGTAAGACCTGATATTCTAAAGGGTCTATAATAAATAAATAAAATAACAGCCATGGTGAAATTCATCAACTTGGTAGCCAGAATGATACCGACCAACTCTGAGCCAAGCTGTAGTAAGGGGCGTCTTCTGTCTAATTTCTCCTCGTTGAAACTGAGGTACGGAGGTACGGAGGCGCTTGGGTTGCAACGCTGGAAACCAAGCATAATCTAAGGAAACTGAACAGTACGTACCGGCTCATTACTATCTCGTCGGAAGCAGTATGCATTATCGCCGGAATGACCCCTATCAGTATTACCCTGGCGGAGAAACCAGAGGAGCATGACAATTTTAGAGAGCGAAGTCAATGGCCAAGTGGCAACGGGAATAAGACTCGTCGGAGAACGGTAGATAGACTCATCGGTCAATACCGATTCTTTCGATCTAGATGAACAGGAAGCATGGGAAAGTCAAGTTCCATCTTACGCAGTTCCTGTCTGGTCACGGTTGCTTCAGGAAGTACCTGCATCGGATCCGATACGTAACGTCGCCCCTCTGTCCGTAAAGTGGAATTGTGGACAAAACGCTGAAGCACGTGGTCTTCGACTGTCCAAGGTTCAAGGCAGTGCGAAGGGAGATGCCCGTCCTTAACGTGGAGAATGTCGTCGATGAAAAGTGTCGAGAGGAGGGCACTTAGGATGCCGTCAGCAGAGCAGTCACGCAAATTATGTCGAAGCTGCAGCGTAAATGGCGAGAGGAGCAGCGATCTATCAATGCCAGATAGTGCTGAGAGTATGAGGAATGCATGAGCACAGCCACCCCCCGAAGTAGTCGCTTCACCGTGGTCCCGGAGGATCCAGGCAGAGGAGAGAGTAAGGAATGGGTTTTAGTGGAGCTGCAATAGGCAACTAGTGGATACCACACCGTGCCAACTTCACTACAGGCCAGGCTTCTTTAAGCTTTCCTAAACCTTACTTTATGATGTGGAGTTGTTTATTTTGTTTATGTATATATTTATTCATTCATTCATTCATTCATTCATTCATTCATTCATTCATTCATTCATTCATTCATTCATTCATTCATTCATTCATTCATTCATTCATTCATTCATTCATTCATTCATTCATTCATTCATTCATTCATTCATTCATTCATTCATTCATTCATTCATTCATTCATTCATTCATTCATTCATTCATTCATTCATTCATTCATTCATTCATTCATTCATTCATTCATTCATTCATTCATTCATTCATTCATTCATTCATTCATTCATTCATTCATTCATTCATTCATTCATTCATTCATTCATTCATTCATTCATTCATTCATTCATTCATTCATTCATTCATTCATTCATTCATTCATTCATTCATTCATTCATTCATTCATTCATTCATTCATTCATTCATTCATTCATTCATTCATTCATTCATTCATTCATTCATTCATTCATTCATTCATTCATTCATTCATTCATTCATTCATTCATTCATTCATTCATTCATTCATTCATTCATTCATTCATTCATTCATTCATTCATTCATTCATTCATTCATTCATTCATTCATTCATTCATTCATTCATTCATTCATTCATTCATTCATTCATTCATTCATTCATTCATTCATTCATTCATTCATTCATTCATTCATTCATTCATTCATTCATTCATTCATTCATTCATTCATTCATTCATTCATTCATTCATTCATTTATTCTTTAAAAATTAATAAATTAATTAATAATAATTAATTAATTAATTAATTAATTAATTAATAACGCACACAGACGCCTAACAAACGTAATGTAGCAAATAACAAAAATTGTTTTTGAGCTGATTCTATACATCTTATATATTTTTATTGGTATCGAGCCCAAATTACAATGCTATATTCGAGAATTGATCTTCCGTGAGCTACATTAAGCGTTTTGATGGTTTATGGATCCTTAAAATCATAGCTAAATCTTTTGATATACATACACACTATATGTTTTATGAATTTTTGCCTTGAATTGATCTACAAAAGTCAACTGAAGTTAAGAATTATTCATAAGTCCCTAATTTTGTAACATCTTTCAGTTAACTGATTCCTGTACTCTAGGATAAATCAGGAGTAGCATGTTTGTTCAAATAAGATATGATATTGAACTTTTTAATAATAATATCAAGCATATTTTCAGCACATCAATTGTAGAAGAACATCCAAGCAAATACATCCGTCAAAAGTACATGACCAAGTCAAGTTACAATTTGGTAATACGCATTGTTTTAAGTTCATTTTCATCGCGAGTACTTATGCTCATAATATGAATTAAATAATCTCCTCTTGTCGAGTTAGCCGAAAAGACAAGCTTTTTAACAAGACAGCTAATAAATTCAAAAAGTTGAAAGAAAATTTATATCTTATGAACCAGAAATCTAAGGCCATCTATCTTTTCCTTTTGCCCTTTTCTTCCTGCAATCGCTTGCTCACTTCGCTTTACCCCGGAACCACCAGTCATGCGAATACCCCTACAGCTCCATAACGCTCATTTTCAGCCATATTCGCAGTCACGCGGCTTGAAGTGGTTGGCTATTTTTCTCCGGTGAAATACGTACGTACCTTTTGTCGGTTGGATTTTCCCCCTTTTAGTAGAAGGCTCTTCATCTTCCCTGCACCACTACCTTGTTGGAGCTGCTTCTTTTACTACGGTATATGATGGTAAGGTGCCTTTTGTGTAGCGCCGAGCTTGCAGTTTTGACCCGAATCCATATATCATTTCGTGCCAGCCAACGGATGAGATACACTGTTAATCAAGGTTGCGGGAAAAAGCAATGTTTCATATCAAATTGTGCATAACCCAAGAATTTTCATTACGTGTAAGTCAAAGTGAAAAATCTTAATTATTGACAAGTCGTCAATTTTGATAGATACCAAGCCCTTTTCCAAGTAGATGCGATAGTTCGAGATAGTAGTGTAAATGAAAATTAATTACGCCTTTCATTGACAGAGTGGTCATTTTTCATCCCTGCTGACAGCAATTGATGGGGAAGAAGTCAGTGCCTGTCTGAATGTAATAGATTCCTTTGGAAATCAATTTGTCTAAATTAATTGATTTTATGTTTTGCATTGATTAATCAAAAATTTCTCATTGCAATAATTGATTCATAACCCCAATATACAAGTCGGTTTAAAAAATGTGGATTGATTAAGGTTTAGAAGTCTTGCAAAATGTATATTATATTTATTATTGAATTACTGTGGCATATTTGCATATATCACTAATATCGAGTCATGGTGGTGAAGATCAAAGGTCACACGACGCCCATTGAAATGTTGTCCTGCTGGATGTAGTCGTGGAGGGACTATTCCCGGTCGTTGGGTCATACCTGGCCACCAACACCGTACGGCGAGGAAAAAGAAGAAGACGTCGAAGGCTTACAAGTCTCCATCAAGGGACTCGTAGCAGTGGCAAAATGATTGAAGTGAAGAAAGCTCCCGGTCCAGAGGGTATCCCCAACGTGCCGTTGAAAGTGGCGATCCAGGCGTATCCGGAGATAGTGCTGAAGAAATCTAGAGTAACATTTGAAATGGGCCTATGTCCAAAACGTAAACAAACCAGAAAATGAATTTTAAATTTTGACCGCCATTATTCAATTCATATTTAAGAAAATTGAAGTATTTTAGGCATTTATATTGTTCACAATAACAATAGTAACTGTATCTCAGTATACAACAGCCAAAATATACGAAAAGCTTTCAAAAATATATGAAAATCGATAACAATATAATTTCATAAATTAATAAGCCTTTTTTGGGAATCTTTCAATGGATAGGCCCTTTTTGTTAAGCCGTTGTGCTTGTCATCAGAAATGGTAGGCCCTTTGCTAAGCCTTTTCGCAACGTCAAATAAATTCAAAACAAATCATCGGCCCTGCCTCAAGCAGTAGGGCCTAGCTTTGGTTTGAAATTTTTCAATCATCGGCCCTTCTACGTCACTAGGCTTATCAATGAAATGAAATAAATGAATGGTTGGCCGTTTCAGCGTGCGGGCTTATTAATGAATCGAAAAATTTCGTTGATCGGCCGTTTCGAAAATCGAGTTATTTTTAATGATTTTTCTCGATTATGCGGAACTTTCTTACACGATTAGCAGCTATCAAGCGATGCTAAAGAATGGTATCAAAACCCGATTTGTTTACGTTTTGGACATAGGCCCATTTCAAATGTTACTCTAGAAATGTTTGGATGACACACAGCTTGAAGAAAGAGAAGCTAGTGTTGCTGCTGAAGCCAGGAGAACCACCAATCCAGTATCGTACTCCTGCTGGATACTCTCGGAAAACTCTTGGAGAGGATCATCCTCATCAGGCTGACGAACTGTACGGAGAGCGATCATGGACTGTCGAAGATGCAGTTCGGATTCAGGAAAGAGAGCTTCATAAAATTTATTGTATTTCAAAGGAATAAATGGTTTCAATTCAAAGCCTAGATACATTAAACGGGCAACTAAACTTACAGATTTTAAGAGACATTGTAGCTGTCTTTTCAACAGTTATCCAATGAATTTAATTTTATTAATTAACAAATTATGTATATTGACGAAGTTTGTAACGGATTATTTTGTATGAATAGCTGCCATAATGACTTTCTTAAGAAAGTCATTATGACAGCTATTCATACAAAATAATCCGTTACATCAGGGGTTGCAGGGGTTTTTTTTTCGCACACTGTGCGACTGAAAAGTTTTTGCCGAGCCGTAGCTCCAGATTGATAGCCTTAAAACAAATAAATACCACAGGATGCATTCTACTCACTCCAGGTTTTAGTCAATACAGCAGTTTCTTCAACGCCTCAAAAACGTTCTGCTAGCTCTCAAAGTAGCAATTACTCTTCGGAACAATATGGTAATATTTCTTTTTTATTTATGATCATTTTAATGCTTTTGATAAATAAATCATCCCTCACGGCACTCCGTTGTTTTCATTTGACATGCTCTCGAGCGCCACTACAACAAAGGTATTGCGATACCTCTGCTTTTCCCATCATTCCCTTACTCGCCGACAAATTTCGGCAATCTGCAATTTTGACAAACTAATTTCTTCTGCTCGTATAATTAATGCATGACATCCTGACATAAATTCTGTCGACATCGCCGTTATTGCGTCTGCTTTCATTTCATCCGACAGAAACAAACTCCTTGAAAGAGAGGAAAAGAATTGAGCGGTATGCACAATACATATCCCACCACTCGAAAAGAAATATGACTGTCGATTAACTATACACAGAAAAAGTGTACGCTTTTTCCCGTGAACCTACCAGTCTACCTTTTTGGGTGGAAACTAGGCACATCTTTTGGTAAAAAACGAAGCATCTTATGCCAAACCGCGAGTTCATTCATAATCGTTGACTCTTCATGGCATACCAGTGAAACAAGAAAAAAAAACCCTAATTAAACCACCTACTGGTAACAAGTGCCTTTCTAGTTGTAGTCTTCGCTCCATGATTCAAAAAATTCAATTAGAAATAAATAATATTAGGATGCAATAGATCAAATCCATTCGCCAGCAACTATGCCAGTAGCGGAACAACACTGGTCGATTTACTATAAAACGAATGCCACTCAACCTGCAATCTTCTTAAGGCTGGGTCCAGTGAAATCTTCTTGAAAGTTGGGAAAAGATAGAGTTGTGGCTACACCCGACT